CGCTTCAGTTCGTGAGAGTTTTGATGTTGAATGGAAGGCTGACTCATCAAGGTTTGCATCTGCTTTGAGAATAACAGCTGCAGGTTGTTGTACCTGTGGTTTAGAATTTCCCAGCAAGAGTCATAATTGCTTTCGGAAACAGGTAAATGTTGTACCAAGCGCTCAGCTTCTCCCTTCAACTTCCCTTTTAGATGTTGCATCTTCTGACCCTTGGAAAAGGAAGGGTTGTTATGAATAGCAGCAGTGTATAAATCCAAAAATGTAGGCCATTGTGAGTAGGTACCAGAGAAAATTGGTATTTCTATCTTCGGAGCGCTGTCGCGTTGTTGTACAGCAAGGTTGAGTTTACGATTAAGGTTGCGTTTTGTTGACTCGTAAGTATCTTCATACTTTGAGAACTCAAGCTCGTAGTTTACGTCGCTACCAACAAGGATGTTGTCGAGTTGCCAATGGACATCATCAATCAACTTCCATCTGGACTCGAGAGTCTTGAGTTTGTCTTCAATGTCCCATTTTTCACTGATGTCAGCAATATTTAGGTTGCGTGTGAAGCGGGAGAAGGCTCGAAAGTTAGTGGCTTGTTGAGTTTTGAGCTCATCAGATTTGGAATAAACACCCGTGTTCTTGCTGAGCTCGCCTGGACTTCCAACTGCCTCCTGATCCTGATCACCAGCAACATATGTAGGCCAAGATTGTAATTTTTGTTGTGTGTTAATATATTCAAGCTTGACCAGGTCATATGCTTTACTGGCATAGTATTCATGCATCTGGTTTTCAGAGAACTGCAACACGCCGTGGTTCATTTCAAACTCATTCCAGAGAGCCTTCAGGTTATCCAATCTAACTTTGATGTAAGTTGTAGTCTTACGGTCTGGACCATCTTTTCCAAAGTTGATACCAATCTTCCTGATGCCTTCGGCGATGATCTGCTGCCGCTTGAGGAGTTCTTGTTGTTTAGTGTCCATTGTTGTTATTGAAATGTTATTGAACACTCTGTTTTACTTCAAATAGCTTCCGGATCGCTTACTGTTCGTGGTTCCTGTTATGGTCACCGGGTCAGCAGAAATCACTACGTACGATATATGCGCCTTCTCAATCCGACCGGGGCGATCCGCTTGTGGAAGACCGGTCAAACCGATTCGCTATCGTAAATAGAGATTCTACGAACCTGATGATGCTTGCGGGGCTGTTGTTCCAGTAGCGCGGTATCCGGCTCGAAGGACCAAAATGTACGAGCTGTTTGCCCGTACATAGAAATGTGTTTGTTGTGTGTAGTATGTTGTCAACGAAGACGGGATGTTCACAGAAATAAAATTACTGTTTTTGTATCCGTTCTCGAAGAGAGTATTTATTGTACTACATTAGTTAATTAGTGTGGCTATAAATAACATAATGTTGTTAGTATGTTGCGTCATGAATGCACCAATAGCGCTCATTCGGCAAAATGTTAGTATAGCAGAATAAGTTAAAAAGTAAAACAATTGAAATCATGTGGCGATGCTCGTACAAATGTCATATGGCAATGTCTGTGGTATTTTTTTTAAGGGGGGAAATCATCCAATGCCTGCTCCCGCCTGGGTGAGGCGGGAGGGAGTGTCAGACTCTTACTGACTAAAAACTAAAAACCACCCCGTTCCTTCTCCTGCACGTCGAGCCGGTACCCCGGTTACCCATTAGGTTCACCGCAACTCCGAATCGGCATCGGCCCTGTTGGGCCCTAACTGTGGTGTTCTGATGGCTCTTTGAGGCGCGCGCGGAACCCGACGCGCCGTACGTTATTGGGTCTGTTTCTGGTCGGACGGGGAGCCACCCATGCTCACCGTCCGCAGGCCCGATGTCTGTGGTATACATTTACATAATAATGGATATTTTATAATGTCTAGGTGGTCTAGATAGAGCGTCACCATTTGGTCACCATATAATAACAAAAATGACGTTCCAAAATTTCTTGCATGTGTGTGTGCGGCTTGTGGTTTACACGGAGCAAAAATAAACCAGCTACGACAAAAATTCTCCATCTTTATTGTGTAGCGTGCATGCACGTAGTGACGCCCAGGTGACACGATTGGTACTATTTGACGGGAAAGCGCATTGCAGTGAACAGTTCACTGCAAATTTTTGGGGCGCTTTTCGTGAACTGACACTCGATGTAGTCTAGACATTATATTATAATCAAACGGATGATAACTCGGCGGCTTATGCAAAACTAAATATATCAATTCGTATCACTATAAAGTCAAAAACAGACTCGTGTTCATACACTACACAGGCATTCAATTTATACACTGTGTGTACCGTGCATAGTGTCGTAGTCACTGGAATACAAAAACTATAAATGTATGGTTTCCATTTTCCATAGGGTCACGCACGGTAATAATATCATAAATATTACTGTACGGTTCACGTACAAGCAAATTGCTTACGCCGCGACCTACTTTTCATCACTTACTTTATTCACCTTATAATTATAATAAAACAGTTGACCATTAACTGTCATCGAACTACAACCGCGGATTAGCATCCAATTAATCTTTTTATCGCGTAACTTTACGAATAAACTGATTATTGGGACATCTGTGGTTTTCGTCAGCTCATATACTTACAACAAATCAACTACTACTACTACTACTACTACTACTTGGCTACACCTGAACCATACAATTACCGTGATATGGTCGTGGTCGTAGTCTAAGCGTATGTATGTACCTTATCAGCTGTGAATATAATTTACACATACGAACAAAAAACAAACTCTTCAGCTTTATAATAGTATAGACTAGGTACTAGCTACTTCCGCGCGGTTACACACGCGCTGCTTAGCTCCTGTTGGTCTTAGCGTGATGTTTTATAGCCTATAACCTATAGCCTTTCTCGATAAACGCGCTATCTAACACAGAAAAAATTTTTCAAATCCGATTGTAGTGTAGTGGTGTTAGTTATTAAGTATCAGTGTATTGTAAGACAGTCAATAAATGACTCTTGAGCTGACTACACGCCTATTCATTTATCGCTCCGTTCCCGCCACATTACAGTAGTTACGGAGATTAGCACGTTCAAACAAACAAACAAAAAAACAAACTTCCGCTTTGTATAATAGTATAAGATAAGAAGTATAATAGTATAAGATAAGAGGCAACTAAAGGTAAAGTAAGTATGGGAATACTCGGACTTCCTCGTCCATCAGTCATACTACTAACAATGGCATTAAAGTAACAACTGAAGCAGTCCGCAACAAAGGGGAATACGCTAAAATATGCCATTAACGTATTAAATTGTGGTTACACCATTGGAAAATGTCTTAGTATGCAGAATATGGAGTGTAAGTATTTTTAAAGTTCTAAAATTTTGATGAGGACGACGAAGATGAAGATGACGAGTGTCGATCTGATTATGAAGCTGAAAGACAGTCGAGGGAATTGGATTTTCAACAGTTACCTTATGGCTCGTTGGATGAATGATAAGTCTCGTTGCATACGTTCAGATACCTACTGCGCTTTCTCCAACAGCTCTGTGAACGCGACCAGTCATTAATGTAGTGTAAAAATAAAATAATGTGTCATCATTCGGTTAACACCTTGACCGCCATTGGGGACGAGGTGTGGGCCACGATAGCGGAGGATTTACCCTCAACGGTTTTCTTAAGCTCAGAAAATAATTAAAAGTGAATGTAGCAATTCATTATGCATCAGCATAGGAAGGAATTTTTTTTGAACATTAACGTGGTGAAAATGAATTCAATAATTATACATGTATTGTTAACACGAATATACAATAAGCATTAAAACAAATGACGGCTTGTACTCCGGGAGTGCCGGCAGAAGTGAAAACTTAAGTATTAATGTTGTGCGTTTTGGATATTTTGGAATGGTTATGGAATAATTTTGCACGAAATGCTTTAAATTATAAATATAAAAGTACCTACTATGTTTTATGTGGTAGAATA